AAAAGATGACCAACCACTTACATAACTAATAAATGACACTGCTTCTAAAAATGTCAACTTATCACCTGGTTTCAGTTTCTCTAATCTGAGGATTTACTACATTTCTTTTGTTGTATATAAAATCCTGAAATAATCATTTCAGCTTTTAGATTTTTGGCTTTTGGTTATGACAAAAGGAATAACATAAAGACCCACACCTGACAGCTATGAGCCAAAACCACACGCTATTTATAAAAAGACAGATGTAACCACCGTGGTTATCACTAATTGGCTTCTGGACTCTGCATTTTGCTCTTTGCTCATTGATAACCATTATAACATGGATGATTTTGGACATTTACGTGGGGTCTGTGGGGATTGACTCACTTTTAAAGAAGCCTCAAGTGGTTGCTAGTGAAACTGCAGATTTTCTTCCCTCTTGGCTAAAACTCCAAACTGATCATCTCATAACAACTGCACATGTCCAGGTCTGCTACATTTTACACAACGAGAAAAGAGTCATTAGGAAGACACGAGTACCTACTGACTGAAAGACGTACAAACCACATCCTCGGCACCTTCAGACATCGGTAAAGACCAGATGTCTACTTCAGTGATGCCACAAAAAGTAAGTGTCGATCAGTTTGAAATCATACCGAAATATTACTAAAGCTAAAGAGTTTTCATCCTCCCTCGGACTTATCCCTTTATCAGCCCTGGAAAGTGCTGACTCTTCCCCTCTCTGTGCTGCTTGTTGTTGGCCTTTCAGCTCCATCCTCAGTCATTCAGCTCACCGCCACCCATCTAATGTTAACGTGTGAACTGTTCTTTAAATCTGCTCACTGAGAAGCAACAAAACCGGAGAGATTACTTCTGCCCCGTGAGCAGCTCGTCCCTCTGGAAATGTTTGCAGAAGTCAGACTGCATCACGCCAGCCGTCACGGCGCTGGAGTTCAGTGTCCTCTCGTGCGGCGGCCTCCGGCGAGGCTCGGCCGTCCGCTCCCACGGCACTCACGGAGCTGTGCAGCACATCAAAGCAGCCGGCTTTAACCGGCTCGACCTACATCGCCTGCGAACACTGAGGCTTTGTCCCTGCGCGCTCAGCAGCGCATCACTGGGCGCTCTCCTTTACTGCCAAAGCATTTCGGCTGCTGCGATCCCCACGCAACAGAAGGTACACTCTTTGTCTGATTTCATCTCACATTCTCTAAGCGTCTTCCTCCTGCCTGCCGAGGAGATGTGCACGGTTTTATTTTCACGTCTCCTCTGCAGGGCTGAACTAACAAATATTTCTGTGAAATAAAATATTATGGGCTGCTGTGTGGTGCAGGCCATCCAGGAAGTTTATGCTGCAGTTTCTGTGAAAAGAAAATCGAGTGTTTTATTCACTATCTGTGTCTGAATGCTAGCGCTCAGGTTTATGTTTGTAGTTTGCTGCACTCTGCACTCTTATCTCAATATTCTGGCTCCGAATAAGTGTGAAATCCAAAAATCCATGGCAGTGACTACATCCATGTTTTAAAGTCCTTGTTGTAACAACACAAACACTCAAGGCTCATTCACGTGGGGCTACTTCGTCAATGAAACCTTAAATAGTTTTATCAATACCCATAAGAGGTTTAATAACCCCCTGAATAA